AGAGAGAGAGAGAGAGAGAGAGAGAGAGAGAGAGAGAGAAATCGCCGGTCTCTAAGGCCCTGTTCAAAGCTTCTCTGCAGGTAGCTAGCAGTTTCTCTTCTCTGGGTCACTGGTGCTAGTGGAGCTTGGCTAGGGCTTTTCTCAGAGAAGGAATCTCCTGTTCCTCAAACTTAGATGGAGCTTATAAAAACCAAGTTCTACAAACACCGGAGAGGTGAGAAATGGTGAGAGACTGCTGCTTGTCAGCTGTTCTGCTGACTTTTCTTATTAGTGTCAAAACCTTTTCAGTGAATGCATTTTTAAAATTGTGCACATTTTAGGGTTTGAATTTACAGGACATGATGGTGATGATGATGATGATGATGCCCTTTCTTCAGTCGAAGTAGAAATATGTTTACATCAGTTTCCCTTTCAACCATGTGTTAGGCAATTGGATAGCTGTTAATATGCCTGCTAATAATCTGAATAAAAGATCCAATATTCAAGGATGTGTGCATTTTGAAAAGACTGGAGAGTTAAAGAATTCCGGGAAGGACTAGAGATAGGGAAATTCAGAGAAGTGTAGAGGAAAATTTTTTCTTGGGTCCAGAAGCTAATTCTTTGGGGGAGGCAGTTTTCGTATCTATAGATAATATTTTCATATAATCAAATGTATTGTCTTCTGGTGAAATTCAGCCGGAGAGCATGGATGAATGTTCAGTGTGTGTGTGTGTGTGTGTGTGTGTGTGTGTGTGTGTGTGTGAGAGAGAGAGACAGACAGAGAGAGAGAGAGAGAGAGACACAGAGAGAGAGAGAGACAGAGAGAGAGAGACTGAGAGAGGCGAGGCCTTTTTTTAGACAACCTATTACACTTCTAAAACAATTCCCTTCCTATTTAATTTAACCCATTACCACATGTAGAAAGAGAAAACGCTTAATCTGAAACCATTTCACTGAAAAAATGCTATGCAGTAGAGCTGCAGAAGTGCTGGAGGAGTTATACTGAAGGGAAGGATATTTCTGTATCTTTGTAATAGGACTCAGGTCTGAAACTTCTTAGCCCCAGAAAACACCCTGTGAAAGGCAGCCTCTTTCAGTGTCTGTGATTGATAGGGGTAAGTAGGCTCTGAAGGGGAGACAGAAAAATGCTGTCTGTTTAGGAAGAAAAGTATTGATGGTAATCATCTAAAATCACACTTTTTCACTTAATTAGTTACTTGTTTATTCAACTTGCTGAATAAACTCTTTATATGAAGAGACCGAAAGAACATATTTCAGTTGATTTTAAATGAACAGAATTGAGGTAGCAAGCAATTGATATTCACATTTCACCCCTCCCCCACCCATTAAATTCTCTCTCTCTTCCTTGATTGCTTCTTGCCTCTCCAAGCACCAGTCACATTAGAAAATTTACAATCAGGGTTTTCCTACTTAGACACATTACAATTTGAGGGGGGGAGTTACCCTCCTCAAATAGTTTATTACGTCTGTACTCTAAGAAAAGGTGTGTGGTAGTGTCAGATGAGCAACCAAATCAGAAAAAATATTAGGTAATATTACCTAGATGAAGATATTCAATACAAAGTTGCAAGCTAACAACACAGATACACACATGTAGTTCCTTTGAAAATGCACCCTCGGGGCGCCTGGGTGGTGCAGTCGGTTAAGCGTCCGACTTCAGCCAGGTCACGATCTCGCGGTCCGTGAGTTCGAGCCCCGCGTCGGGCTCTGGGCTGATGGCTCGGAGCCTGGAGCCTGTTTCCGATTCTGTGCCTCCCTCTCTCTCTGCCCCTCCCCCGCTCACACTCTGTCTCTCTGTCTCTCAAAAATAAATAAACATTAAAAAAAAAAAAAGAAAATGCACCCTCATTAATTAGCCAAAACATTTTTCTTAAAAATATTATTGTCCTAAAAATTCACTTCAGAGTAATAAATCAGTCCAGGAAAGCACTCCCATCCCTCCAAAGATTAACTCTTCAAGTACAACAGTAAATTTCTTGGTGGGAAATAAAAAAAAAATATGGCAATGTGTATGCGATCTAAACATTTCTAATGCCTTAGGGGAACATTTCTTAGGCATGAACTCTTTTTAAAAGGGTTCTACTGTATCTATTTGAGTTCAAGTGAACTACTTCAATTGCTTTGCCTCTCATAACAGATGATCTCAGGAGACTGAGATAAAGGATACTCCAGATGATGATGAGAACTGATAATATTTGCTCAGGGCTGTAGTTTTGTTTCTGGGCTGTGGCTAGAAGGATTTCAATTGTATCATTAAAAGTTCATGTTTTCTTATTCTTCTTCAACAGGTTCATCTCTTAAGTGACAAGAGCTAGATATACATATCACAAAATCATTATGATTAAAAATAGAGTTATCAGTTTGTTATCTATTCCCCAAGTGGCATCAAATTTCCAGATGTTTCCATGCATATGTGTACTGCATATTTAAGATGGAAGAATAGAATATATAACAAATATTAATTTAATATATTAAATATCTTAAGATATTTAGTTTATTTATTCTGCACAATAATTTTAAAAGTATTCAGTTTTGACTTTTAATTAAAAAAATTTCTTAATGTTTATTTATTTTTCAGACAGAGAGA